ACTGACTTCACGTAAAATATACGACAGGTCTGGACCACTCGTAAATTTTGTTCGTATCTGAAAAAAATCGTAGAATATGAAAACATTGGTGAATGCCACAAATTCTCTTAAATCACTCGTACGCACAATTTAAGAACAAATCTGTGCGTACGAACGGTTCTTGCATGAGGCCCATTGTATTCATAAACACAGTAGGAAGCAAACTAAAGCGGGGCACAGAATGTATTTATGATTATTGATCTGTCAGCACATCCACCTAAATCAGTATTATTCTGCTGCAGAAATGTTACAGACTTATTGCAAAAATTCAGATTGGAAAACTGCTAAAAGTACCATTTCCTACTGTCAACTTGGACAAAAATAACATGAATCGGAGTATTATTTATATCTAAGTTACAAGGAGCCACTTCAGGGAGTTTGAAGAACCACATGTGGCTCCGGAGCCGCTGGCTGCGGACCTGGAACTCATCACTATTTGCATCCAATTTGGGATTTTGTTTGAACATTTATTTCAAGAATATCTGTGTGGAAATATCTCACACTGTCAACACTTCACTCGTGATGCCGCTAAACGAGTTGGCAGGGACCTCAGTGATGAAAGGATGATCAACCATTTCCCTGCAAAGGATGACACAGAACAGAGAGAAAGATGACTACATAATTCAGCTGKGTAGACAAATAAGTTTGGACGTTTTGGCCCTTTTTCACACTGACATGGAAGCAAAGCTGTTCCACACACAGTGACACATGGTATGAAATGTTGTGAAATATGTAGGAAATCTTGGGATCATATGTCCCATTTGATTATTATTTTAGAAAGATTCTGGCTGCTGGAAGCTTAGACATGGGGTTAAGATAACCAGATAACTTACAGTATGAAGTTCATGATGTTTGAGTGGATGTTGCTCAGAGCAGGAAACGAAATCAAGCCAGTGTTGAAAATCCCCCTGAATGAATGGAACAAGTGTTAAACGTGTTAAACCAAAGATTCAACCAACCATTGAAATAAGGTGGTTTATCGCAAATTTTAAGCCAAATTACATTACAGTGCTGATCYGATCAGATATTACTCCAACAGAGGAAAAAGTAGCTCTGTCAATTTATTAAGTTAAAGTACTGGAGTATGTGTTTTCAAAAATACTTAAGTGCTTTAAATTTTGAAGTTTTTTTAAACAATATATTTCACTTGAGTGTTGAGGATAATTGGGAAAATCTTATGATATTGGACAGATCAGTAACCTCAAAGATAACATACAGCGGGTAAAATAAGTATTGAACACGTCACCATTTTTCTCAGTAAATATATTACTAGAGGCGCTAATGACATGAAATTTTCACCAGATGTTGGTAACAACCCAAGTGATCCATACATACAAAGAAATCAAACCATAAATGTCCAGAAATGAAGTTATTAATAAATATCTAATGTATATGTCAGAAATTGGAATAACGAGAATCACGTTAAGTTCAATACTCCAACTGTGGCTGCTTATCACGATAGCAATCC